ACTTATTGATTTTGAAAGTTTTCAAATAAAAAAGAGCATTCAGATTTATTTTTATTCCAGTTTGTTTGTTTTTTCCTCTTTCCTCGCAGATAAAGATGGAAGTATCTCTGACACTTTTGCACAACATGAAACAGATGCCTATTCTAAAATTGCTCATCTCAGTCAGATTGTATGGGACTCATCAGTAAAAATCATATTTCAAATCTTGGAGATGATATAATCTGGATTTAGATTGTGACCTTCAGATTAATCTGAACTATTGCCATGTAGCTCTAACTGTAGGGTTTTTGTCTTCCTGGAAAAAGAAAGTCCTTCCTGACTTAAAAATAGTTTGCAGTCTCACTTTCCCTCCATAGGATTTTTCTGTTTGCTCTGAAGAATTTATCCAACCCAGATGAACAGAAGGTCCACTGATGATAGTGGGTTTTTGGGCGCATAGCATTACGCTTCTAGGACGAAAGGTTTAATCTAATCTCATTAACCAGAGCACCTTCTTAACATGCTTTGTTGACACCACATGCTCTTACATGACTCAGACCAGAGTCTGAACAGGACTTCTTCTGGCCTGATTTCTTAATTTCATTCTTCATAAAGATAAGATAACATTGAGATCATGACTGATGTTGTTGTTGCGATGTTGGGCAAGTTCAGGATCCAGACACGGGCAAGTGGAAAGCAAAATCAAAATAAACAAACTTAGAAAAGGCTCCCAGAAGTGAAAACAGGTGAGTGATTAGAAATTTTATCTTTAACATATCAATTGGAGAAAAGGAGACAAAATTTAACAGATCTCAGAAGAGGTGATGTGGGAGGAGTTTTCATCCTAGATCTAAAGCAAACAGTATAAGGTCCAATTTATGACTTCTTAAAGTGATACATTTTATGTTCTTGATTGCCAATCATAAAATATAAAATAATAGGTATAACTCATATTCTCTGAAAAGCTTCATTTTTTCGCCATTCATCAAACTATACATTATTTTAACTTATTATATCAACACCTTGACAGCTTTTTATTTAAATCAGTTACATTGTCAAAGTTGGACTTCTCAGTAGAAGATTTCCTAGAAATTGCACAGGAAAGTATTAAAGAGATGATTGGAGGTAATTGAATATACTAAAAAAGGAAACACCAATGAGCAAAATAGTCAAACAATAAAGCCATGAATCCACTTTAATCTAAAATCAACAGTTTTTTTCATAAACCTACAAACCAAAATAGCAAAATCAAGCCAACGGTTCGTGGTTACTTCTTTGGATCATGGTTGTTTCAGTACAAGAGGTTTTGACTGCAGCTGCTATACAGGCTTTTCATTAAGGGTATTGCTTAAATCCCACTGGATTTGTTTGGTTTATTAAAATAAAGTTTAATAGATGCAGTTATTTTTTCTACAAACATTTGTCAGTTTGGCCTGCTAAATAACAATAATCACGATAAAACACATTAAAGTGTGTGATTGTAAAGTGTCCAAGTTTGGAAAATGTTAAGGTATATAGGCTAAAATTCTTTTACAAAGGTCTGTATATCAGCTCTTGCAAGAGCTACAATAGGTGACCCTCACTGAGAAAAACTGTAAACAACCCGAGTCAGCTGTTTATTCTCTGCAGGCTCCTCTTCTGGCATGTTGGGCAGATTAAATTCTGGTGGGTGTAGAGACAATCGAGCCACTGATCCCGTTAAACAATGACCAGCAGAGAGCAAAAGAGGCCTGATGCTGAACAGCACAGGTTTACTCTTCAGCTCAGCACTTTATTGAGCTATGATAGGCCCTAATCTTGACTGATCCTCTGTCACTACAAGCATATGCCTGTGATAATGCCCTCATTTTATGGTCACCTGAGCACTTTCATTGGAGTGCACCCATGTGGGGGCAGAAAGCAGTGCTGCAAAGCTGGGAAGAAGAAAATAAAAGGAGTCCAGAACTGGATGAAAGGGTCCTGAAAGGTGGCATCTTGAGAAGAAAGTTAAACACTCTGATAGAGGGTTAAAAGCAAGGATTATATAGAAACATGGAAGGTGGCAATGCTTTCATTTGTAAAATGCGGAGCTCAGAGATCCTTCTGTCTCTCTGTGTGGCCTGTTGCCTAAGCAAACACATGAATAAGAATAAGGATGACTTGGAGAATGGGATTTATATGGCTAATGCATATAAACATGGAGTAATAGAATAATTGCAGCGGCGCTCCATTGATCACCTAATCCATATGTTTTCCTATAATTGCTCTGAATATTCTCTCTGACATATGGCTGCATCTTCTATCTATCTATTACCATCTGAGTATCCCTAGATATTCATATCATATCTTCAGCAATGTTTTTCATACCATTTTGGTTAAAGCAGAAATTTTGTTTAGAATAACATCGTAATTCTAAACCCATTTAAGACCAGAACATTCTGTCTAACATTGTTAATTAGAACCTGACACAATTAACAGATGAAAACCCTGAACCCTTTTGGCTCAGGGCCTGAAAAAAGAGAAAATCCATATGCTTCAAAAAAAGTTCTTATGTTAGCTTTTAATGTTCCTTTAATGATTAAATCCCTTAATATTGACTGATCAAACATCCCCATGATGGAGCAATGGTGGGGGGTCTTTAGAACCGCTTCAGTGAGTGGAATCAGTTTGGGAAGATTTCTTGCTTGAAAGTTCATAACTAAGCAAAATGCAATCTATGAGATTCATCTTGTACATAATATACAAGTCAAAGAAGCAATGTAATGCAACACAAAACACTTTGTTTTCTTTACATGTCTTTAAAGAAACTAAATATCCTCCAGAAAGTAATTTCATTTGGCTCAAAATCTTTTTGACATGAGCTGGTTGATCAAAATAAACAAGATTTAATATTTGGCCTATTACACTGCAAAAACTATCTCAAAATGAGTAACAATGTCTTAAATTAAGTGTATTTACCCTTAATTTGAGCCGGTAAATAAGATGAGTTGCTAATAGAATGAGTATTTTTACTCTTAAAATAAGTTACATAGATATTATGCACTTGAAATAAGAAAATGCAATTGTTTTTTCTTATTTTAAGTGTAAATTATCTTGTTCCATTGGCAAAGTGTCTCACTTAAATACTTAATTCAAAAAGAAAATACACTTATTTTAAGGAGGATATGACTTATTTAGATTACATTTTTTGAAGTGTAACAGACTGGTAATGCCTTTAAGTTTTGAATTAATGTAGAATAAATTAGGGAAGATTATATTCAGACATGCAAACCATTTGTGGCAAACCCATCCCCTTGGGGAGCAGTGGGCTGCCACTGTGTGGCGCAAGTGGCAACAGTGTGGGATTAAGGGTCTTTCCACAGGGACCCAGAGTGGCAGTCTGTGGGAGTGGGGCTCGAACTCAGAACCTCAGGATTCCAAGCTCTATGCTCTAACCACTAGGGCACCACTCCACCACATGAGGGAGAAAAATTCAACAATTAAAAAATATTATAATTTTTGTTACTTGCGTTTGCTTCTGTTATTTATTCTTTTTTTTTTTTTTTTTTGGACCACACAGTAAATTCTTAATAGCTTTTCAGTAATAATAGGAGCATAAAACAGGTTCACATGATATTTGAGTTATGCTACTGGTGAGTAAATAAACTACAGTTTCAGGGTGCTGCTGTAATTATGCTAACTGTAATTTTACCCACCTGACCGGCAGTTGGCAGGGAAAAAAAACCCTGGATATTCCTAATACCTCACTACTTCCACTGATATCTGTTTAAAATTAATCTGCTATAATGGTTTGAATAAAAAATATCATGTTTGGTTCATCCTGGCACCTATTACCAATCAATTTGCCTAATTTAGAAACATGACATAAGTGTGCATTTTCAAGCACTATCAAAAATGCTTTAAACTCCCCTTTTCTTTTACAAAATGGAAACACTTTTTATGCAGACATGTATAACATTTCAATGTCCCTACCTTCATCCTTTTGCATTTAAAAGCCCCCAACTCATACACCAGTTTTTAAATTGTAGTTTCCGATTTCAAAAATATTTCTTTGAAGGATTTTTTATGAAAGATATGAGGTTGCAGCTCCCTGCATGAATCTATTCAAGAAAATCCCTTTTGCTGCTCTGATGAATGCAGCTCTTACTCTCCACCACAAAGGACAAACTTGAGGATTTATTTGGTGCTGCATGAAGAAAAACATCCCTTTGTTCAGATGTGTTTGAACCAAGACAACAGAAAGTCCAAATCGGTCAAGAAATGTTTTGTCTTCAATTTTTAAAGGTGAGAAATGGAGGATTTTATTGGAGTATTCCCTGCGTCAACCTAGATATTTAAGAATTAGAAACCCTACATTTAAACCATGAGGCAGTGCTGTGTCCTCTTGTTCAGTATCATTTAAACTATCTCTTAACAAAACAATGACCCCCTTGGTGACAGTAATGTGATTTCACAGACTGGAGAGATGAGTAGAAATGTATTTGACCTCCTTTGTCTTAACTCCTGGTTGAATCGTACCTAGTCATCCATGCTTTACATGTTTAAGCCACCTCATATGGTGCCTCCTACCTTTCCTCAAAGTGTCTCATAGAAACCATATGTAAATAAGGCCTTGGAGGCATCATCTATCCAATGCCACGGCAGACAGCAATAAAATGGGTTGCCTGTTGAACTCTGAGGTCACCACTTTTACTTTCCTCTTAACTATAACTTAAAAAAAAGAAAATATTTTTCATCAATTGTTGATCATTTTAAGCACTAGTTGTTTAGATTTTGGTTCTTTAGAGTAGACAAAAGCTTAAAAAAGTGTGTGAACATATCCCTAATTTTGTTAATGTGTAAGAGACTCATTAGATAAGGGGAGTTAAAGGGGGTGTGGGAAGGTGAAGTGGGGGGTGCAGGAAGGAGGTGTGAGAGGGGGGTGAAAGTGTGTCCCTTCTGCAATTGGCTGTGGCCCTAAATGTCTCATTATGCAGCTTTTTGTTCCTTTGTTGTGTCCGCAATATAAATGCACACCAGCAGGCCACGCCGTGATAGATTTCAGACACTTTCACCTCTGTGGACAGACTGTGCAGCAAAGATTCTCTGTTATTCTTTAAAATCAAGAGTTCAGGGTTATTCTTAAAAAAGACTCGAATGGATTCAGACGCCAGCTCCACATGCAGCCGTTCCTCATCTCCAGACCTGGTGGTGGATGACTCTGCCGGGAGCTTCTTCTCAAAAAATATGTTTCAGAAATACTGCGAGAAGAACAGAACTGACAGTGAGGCCGAACAAGGCAGGATGGAGCGCTGCGGCGGAGGTGGGAAAACCAAGAACAGGTCCGACCTCAGCAAGGAGGAGATGCAAGATCTAAGACTCAAAGTTAACAGCCGTGAGAGGAAGAGGATGCACGACCTAAACCAGGCCATGGATGGCCTGAGGGAGGTTATGCCCTACGCTCATGGACCTTCTGTTCGCAAACTTTCCAAAATCTCCACATTGCTTCTAGCTCGCAACTACATCCTAATGCTGTCGAGCTCTTTGGAGGAGATGAAGAAACTGGTTGGGGATGTTTATGGAGGTGGCAATGCTGCCCAGAGCCGATCTACTGCCCACCCAGCAATCAACCCTGCAGCCACGTCTGTTCACCTTCCTCTGCATCCTTTGGCCCAGTCTCTTCACTCTCTGGTGGCCAGCACGCCTGCAGCTCTGCAGCATCACTCCTCTCCTCCCTCTTCTGCTCCTGCTCCTCATTCCCCTCCATCAGCTAGCTTCCTGGGCTTTCACGCTCCGGTGCAGGGCCTTCTTAAGGACCCACTCCACCTCGGTGGCTCCTACAGGCACTTCCCCGGCATGCCTTGCCCGTGTACACTCTGCCAGCCTCTGCCAACAGCCACCTCAACGTTACACACTTTGTCTATGAACAAATGAATGGAGACTCGCCACAAATTGACTGATGCCAAACTTGTAGATGCTGTACATACAAACTGCTGCTATTTTGTCAAAAGAAATATTTGGTTCTTTTTTTTTTGTAGAAGAATATTGGAGCTTTTATTGTAGTGATGAAAAAAAATCTGTAACTTAACCAATGTTTGCTTTAGGAAAATATGTGTAAAAATGTGGAACAGAGTTGTGCAGGATTCTATATTTCTAAATTAAAAATTGAATTTGAAATAAACTTTTGTTTCTCTCATTCTTGCATTAAATTTGTTCCCTGCTGAACAATCAAAACTTTATCAAATATATGTGTTTCTATCTGAAGAAAAATCTCAGAGCAGGAACCACTGGCGTTTAAATCGCTGCAAAGCAACGCATCAGCCACAAATTTTATGAACAGAAATTGGTAAAAGTGGGTCATTTGTTGCTAACCAGCTTTGGACACATCGACCTCTAAAGAGCTAAAGAGAGACAGGAGGGTGAGACAATACAGCAGAACAGAAGCTGAATGTGGGACCATCAATCTTCCCCTCAACAGGGTGTTGGAGATGAAAGGGCGACACAGGCGCCACAAAGGCGAGTCACTTTTGTCAGACACAGGCGAGAGACACAACGATGTCCTCAGCTGCAGGCCAGCCATTTGTCACTGTCTCATATGATTATGGTTATCAGCGTAAGAAAGGGTTAGATTTAAGTAAGAGTCATAACGCAGCTTCATGAGCAGTTACACATATCAGCCAAACTATGCTGTAAGTTATATCCTTGGTCATAAAAGTACAAAATTCAACTGATACCTGAAAAAAATAAAATACTCCAAAGAAAGCACAAATCTGGCTTTTTATGCAAACAAGACCTACGGAAAAGCCATGAAACAAATCAGCAATGGCTAACCTTCACTTAGCAACAAATCAAGCGTGTAAAATACATGCTTATCCTCCCATGGCTGACAGATGAGCTGGAGATTCAAGGAGAATGAAGAGATGTAAGTCATTCTCACCCACCTCCTCCTCTTCACAAAGCTGAAGAGGGCCCGAACAATGCCCGTGCGTGGGACACAAAGACAGGGGCAGTCAAAGCTCTCGTGCCTGGGACATAGACCCCCCTCCATTCAATCACATTTCATCATGGTAACAAGCGCTGTTGGGCCAAAAGGCCTGACACTCTTGCTCACCACAAAGGCGGTTAGCTCAAATATATGAGGCTATTGACACTGTAAAGAGCTCCTGTCAGCGCTGGGGGTTTGTCAGCTGTGGGATGTCTCAGTGGGGGGAGGCAGCTGCCACCCAAACCAAGCGATGGAGCTTCTGTCGTGGGGACCGGCACAGTGCCGTCACCTGGTCCCTGGTCCCATGACACAGAGGCTCCCGGCCCCCCCCCCTCCATCCTTACTAGGGCACAGGTGGGAATGGGAAGCCGAACACATTGAGGAGATTAGTGGGGATCTGCCTCCCTTTGCTGGAGGTAGATAATTAGAGACTTTGACTTGTGCAAAGCTGGTGTTTTCTGATTGATACCAGATGGTGTTAACCCACAATATGGCATCAGTGGTCTGGAAAGTCTACGTGCATGTGCGTGTGTGTGGGTGGGTGTGATGTGTAATGGATATGCTTCTTAAATCATGCAATATGGGCATGTCCTCTGTGTACCACTATGATCCACCTCATGTCATCCATTTGGTCCTCAGCACACACTAGCCAGCAAAGGAAGCTCTAGTTTGAATTCAGTTCAATTTATTTCTATAGCACCAATTTACATCACATGTCATCTCAAGGCAATTTACAATTCACCAGATCATACAGTCAAATTGATTCA